CTACTACTACTACTACTACTACTACTACTACTACTACTACTACTACTACTACTACTACTACTACTACTACTACTACTACTACTACTACTACTACTACTACTACTACTACTACTACTACTACTACTACATCTTTCAAATGATGCACTCAATAATGTTCCTATTTCTCAAAGCTGATCACAAAAGATTTTCGACAATTGTGATAGATTCCATTATTTTTTTGACCAAAAATACTCCTTATGTTTCTTCCTAAATTTTATATGCTAACATGATTTTACTACAGAGCAAAAGATCTTCGCAGATTCTTTCTGATTCAAAACATATTATATCATTTAACGACACATAATTGTTTTTGATCTTTCATTCAACAAACATCATAACTTCTGAATAGCCATAATATTCATTGTTTTTTTCTTTCCGTTGGCTTATAATGAACATACTCTTAAGTATTGTTCTTATTGATTTTAATCGAACGTAAGATCATCCACTAATCACTCCAATGTTTATAATTTTACCAACAATATTTTCAAAGTAACATTAGTTTAGTTTTTACTAACTACTTTTCTCAAATTTCAGTCAGTTTGAATTATTCATCTTTATATCACAAAATTCTCATTCAGTCAACCTACTTTGAAACATGTTGTGCTAAAAATGTATTACGCAAGATTGCGTTTAGTTCAGCAACAACTGTTGCTTATGGTAATTATAAACACAACAGGGCGGTATATCATTTTGATCCCATCAGCTGTTTTCTCAGCACATGCATCTTTACAATTAAGCTTATCATCGACACTCAATACGGTAATAACTTAACAGCAGCGTATTAAATATTCAGAGTAAGCCCTATATATCTTTGCTTTTTTAAAAGTGAGAACAAAATTTAAAAAACTTGTTCAAAAATATCAATGTTGCTTTATTGAAAAACCACGGAAATCGTGAAATAATGTTTGTAGTTTCTTATCTCAATTCATTCAGGAATCTTTGTATAGATTTTCTGCTGTTTTTAAACTGTTCCTAATATCAAATTTCAGTTCTAAATAAAAACTCGAATATCAAAAATTATCTTTCTTAGTGTTATTTTTATCACATCCAGAAAAGTAAAATTTTAATTTCTTATCATGAATTACTCAACTTTCATTCATCAGTTTTATTTTGAATATATAAAAGCTAGATTAACTACTTCATAGCAATGTTAATGTGAGAGTCAAAGTTTTACAATACTTATATTTTGAAAGGAAGTATCACCTTAAACCACTACTTACTTAAGCAGCTTGTGAATTATGAAACAAGTTCAATGATGAAACTTGCTGTCATGCGCTTCTATTGGCAGGCAGATGCGTTACTTTGTAGGATGCGCAATTGCGCCATCAGCAGGGAATGGATGCATTGTATTAATTTACTGGATAGTTGGGATGGTTTTGCAAATTTATTTTAAATAACTTATTTATTTAATCAGTAAAAAACCAATTCCAATCCAAGTTGATATATTTTGACAAGAAACTTCACAGAACAAAATGCTGTGATGATTGTTTTATTTATTGTTTGATTGGTTCATGATTGTTCTTTTATTTTTCTTTTGATTTTTCATCATGAATCAGAGCGTCCAGGTCGGCAGACCCCAATATGTAAATATTTTTCATACCCTTCCTTTTTCGTCCGTTATTTTGTAACGAGTTTTGTTTGTTTTCTCTAAAATGATGTGTGATTTTTTTATTTAAAGCCAGTGCAATTTATATCCATTTTCTACGGAGAATTGTTTTACCAGAAAGTGCTCCAGATTTTCGCTTTTCATTTCTGAAAATTTCCATGTAAGGATTCTGAGTTCATTTTGAGGTTTTGCCCCTTTTGTGGGAAGAGAAGTGATATGGGATGAATACAAGAAAGACGATGCTTCAATCTAGCCAATTTTCGCAGATCACATTAGTTTTAAGGTTATGCCTTCGAGAACCACTTACACATCACTCAAGCGCAAACGGAAATACTGTTTTAAAAGTGTTATGCCACTGCTATTTTCTTAACCTTTATGAACTATAGTTAAATCGGTGAACTTCACTGTCTTGAAAGTAACACTTATTTCCAACTTTTATTCTCTACTTGCTATATTAGAAAAGATAACATTGATCTGTTGTAAAAATTTGTCAAATTAATGATGAAATGAATTTTAAATGATGATTCATTGTCAAGTATAAATGCTGGGAAATGATTTTTTTGCCTATTTCTGTTAAGAGATAATAGTTGGCTGTGAATTAAAAGTATGCTGTTATATTAGTAAAGCATCATTGTTAACTTGTGCAACAATATCATTGTCATCATCATTATTACACAATCAACTATCAAAGTTGTCATCATCAACAACGGTTGTTGATTGTTTCAGCATTAGCAGTAGTAGCAGTGCCATCATCTACTGGCGGTTGCCTGGCTCAAATCAACAGTGTAGCATTTAGCAGTTCCACTGATTGCTCATTGGCTGCTATTCTATGCACATCTTTTTCCTCTATTCTCGCTGATACCAGCTATTTCTCTTATACTCTTGCTTGTTCCCATCCTCATAGTCTATTTGCTGCAGACGTATTGGCATAGGCTTACGGTAGCATATCATCATGCTGATTAGCTTAATCATTGTTCTCCATTTATAGCAGCAATGATAACATTAAATATCCTCTCAGTCTCTGTCTATGAGATATACTACTATTGTGTCTCATTTCAAAATAGTTCGTTTCTTAAGTTGAAAATTTAACCTTTGTGCCTCAAGCAAATGATATAAGCAATGAATAGCGTGAGAAACCAAATTAGACATTTGCAACGAGCTTTACTGTTTCCTTCAAATCATGGTGTATCTGGCAAATGAACTCTTAAAATGTATAATGCAGTTGCATAATTCCTATAGTTTTCGTAATGATATTATTGTTGTGCGTGTGATAATCTGGGAGATATACGTGGTTAATGCATGAAATAGTTGTAGTAATTGTCATGATTATAATTTGTCATCAAAGTTATATTTTACTTTCTTTATATTGCAAAAGATAATAAAAGAACAAAAGTTAAAAATGAGACAAAAAAGGAAGAAGAGATGAAGATATTTTCTCAAGGGAACTTATCCATTATTTTTTTACTTTTACTGATCTCGTATTACTTCTACTTATAATGTCAGTGAAGTTACCAGTATTAAAACTTGGTGAGAAAAATCTTATTAAAAAATGAAAAATTATTCCGTGATTTGATCTAACTATAAAGTAAAAAAGAAATAAAGTTATCTTAAAGAAATGACTTACAAGAACATAACAGTTAGTTAAAAATGCAAATATACGGAAAAGCTGTGAAAAGCTTCATTGTATGAAGAGAGCTATTTGAATTTTTCTCTCTCTATCTCCCTCTAATGCATTATTTCGGTATGAAAAAGAAAACTTGTTTTTAATCGGAAGTGGAAACAATTAGCTGAACAATGCTCACCTGCTTTCCCTTTTGCATCATTATCATCATCATCATCATCATTACTTTTTGATAGCTTTCACTTCCGCTTTCTCTTTTCTCTTCCTTACATTGATGAAATGCTAATAAGATGCTTACTGTCTCGAAATTCATTAAACATTTCCATTAATTTATTATTAAATTGCTCTATTTTATTCTATTTACCAATATTTCTCATTCCATTTTCTAATTCAAAAGATGGCGATTTAATACTTATAACATTGCGTGAAAAATTCAAAGTAGGTAATTGTTATTTGATTTGATTTTATCCATGATGTTAGTAATTATTTAGTATACATTGCTGAGATCAGCACTAACAATTTACAATAATTGTGAAATATCTCTGCACTATATTGCAGTTTAGATGGAGAAGAGGAGGACAGGAAAAAATATAGCTTGATAGTTAGGTAGCTGCTACACTGTAGGGAAATAGCAGAGTTGTGAACTCGTTCCTGACAAATAGCATGTGATCGCTCATTAACCATCAAAATACGCAACACATTCACATACATTAATGTACACGTACACACACACAGCAACTGTAAGTTGCTGTGTATTTAAAAACAACAATTAGTGCTATTGCTGAAGCATATTGCGCACTGCTACCTCTTCTACTTTTACCGCTTCATTTAGCGAAATGATATTGTGGCTACGATTGCAATTACAATTACAATTACAGTTACAGTTACAGTTACAGTTATCATTATAGTTATAGCTATAGTTGTAATTCAGTAATTGTTGTTAGCACGACAATGAGTAAAATTGATTTCATAAATATGTGCAGTGAATGGGAAGAGGTGGAAGTTGAAATTGAAATGATCAATCAGTCATGAGTAGATGCTGCAAAGAGGAAAAAAGCCTCCCGCTTGTCTTGCCTTCCTTCTCCCTTGCCATTTCTGTCTTTTCCCCTTATAGCATCGAGTGCTACATCATTAGCCTCTTTGTTTCTCATGCTCGAATTGTCACTTCAAAAACTAAGGCATCACACACTCATTGAATTATATCTTACCGTACTGTCTTACCTTTCCGCTTACAATTGGCTAAAAGTTGCTCCGATTCCTTCATTGACGAAGAAAAAAAAACAATCAATGCCATAGATTGTTTTCTTTGATTTTAAAAATCTTAACTTTTAAAGGTTCACTTTTAAAATTTAATTTAACGCTCGTCTTATTTTGATAACTTTCTTACAAATTATATTCATCTATTTCACAAAATTATTGTATTATTCTAATTTCAATAATTTAACTTTGTCTCACAGTCATAGTTATTCTTCAGCTCATTTTCTCACTAGGATAACTTGTTTATTTAATATTTTCAATTCCAATAATTTATCACCATTTCAAGTCCTCATATCACTTCTAGCTCTTCATCGTTCATTTTATTGAAAAAAAAAATATGTAAAGAAATGAAAGCCTTTCTAAGAGTAAAGCTGAGAAAATTTTATTGCTGCAGGAAAGACTCTTGAATGATTTAGAATAAGTAAATAGTAGATAGTAATTATATACTGTGAAGTTATTGTTTTTTATGATTATTATCATACTGTCCCTTCTCTATTCTTTCCAAATGTTTTTAACTAGTTTATTTGTTCTCGCAGAGTAGATAAATGTTTCAAGCAAATAATATGTCACTATAATTGTTTGCTTTGCAATAAACAGGACTTATGTTGTAGTACATA